ATCGGTCCCACCCCACCCACCAACTGTCAAGAGATGCTGAAGGAAACAGCTTCACGGCCTCCCTCTGTACCTGCCCCTCTTAGTTCTGCACGAAATCCCCGAAGGCAGAGAGGATGCCGGAGAGCTCGCCCCCAGGCAGGTCACGCACAAGGCCCGGAATTCTGAATCTAGAGGGACTTGGACCTTAGCTCAGGAATTCTCCCTCGGGAAGGAGTCTTACCTCTGAAGCACACTCGTCCAGGCCTTCCCTGGTGGACCCCCTGCCAGCGAGCCCTCGGCGGGGCAGAGCTGGGCGCGGTGGAGCCCCGTTCACAGCCCCACTCCGCAGGGGACCGGCCGTGAGCCTCGCGCCCCGGGCCCCTCTCGCCGCGTTGGGCTGTGCAGAGGATCAAGCCAGACGCCAGCCCCTCGGGAACTGCCACCGCGGGGCAGAACCCTAGGCAGTCAGCAGGCCTGCCTCTAGGTTTTCAAACGTCATTTGACTTCAGGCAAATCCCTCCGCCTTTTGTAACCTCACAGATCCAATGAAATGATGCCTGTGGACGTGGTCTGCCAACAGCAACACCGCACGAAAACCACGCAAATGTCGGTGTTAGCGTTCTTCTCATGCCCAGGCGGCGCGAAAGCCCGGGCTGCTGCGGGCCGCAGCTCCGTGGCGTTCTCGCCCTGCCCAGGTGTTCGAAGCCCCAGACTGGGGGCTCCACCGTCAGCTTCCCAGGAGGTAGGAGGTAGGATCCTGGCAGAAAAGAGCGAGGCACTTTAAGTACCGGGGCCCCCGTGCGGGTGGGGTCGGGTCCCTGCATCCCGTAAACCATGCTCGGACTCCTGTGAGACGCCGGCGGCGCGGGCCCCCGAGGTGGGGAGGGTCCCGCGTGTAGATTTCACTGTTCTTGCCCGCCACACGTTGGCTTCGAAGGTGGACGTGGGTGTTGACCAGCAGGCTGAGAGCGTGACTGTTTCAAAAAATGGTTGATTTTTGCCATTTCCCCGGTGGTCTCTTTTCTTCCTAGTCAAGATCTGTTTTGCTCAGAACGACATCAGGGGAACGAGGGAATCACCTGTAACGCTTGGCGTTGGATCTGAGGCCGTCACAACACTGTGCTGGGCTGGGGGCGACCAGGAGGGCCCGGGGGGTGCTCCCAGGCTGCCTCTCTCTCTCTGCTCCTCCTGCCGCTGGACGCCGCCGGCGAGCCAGTCGCTGCCGTCGCAGCGGGGCTGCTGGCCCCAGGGACGTGGGAGGGACCTCACCAGGACACGGGCGGAGACGCCCCCAGGCCCGAGGCGGCTGCAGGGCACTCTGCTGGGGTACGCGGGGCCGGGATTTAGGGTGGCGTCTCCCAACGCATCTGTCCTGGGCTCGGCTGAAGTGCCCGTTCACAGTGCAAGTCCAGCCCCCGCCCCGCCCCCTCGATCTCCAAGGCAGGGCCCAGCGGTCCGTGTTTAACAGCAGTTGAGGCGTTCCTGTGCCGGTCAGGCAGCTTTGGGAATCACTGGTCCAGCAGAAGAGCCTAGTTAGGCCTGCCGCCTCACTGACAGCGGCAACAGTTGCCTTCTCCATCTCAAGAAAGGCTGGGTTGCAACAATGTCTGCGCCTTGAGCCTCTGGCAAAGGCTGCCTGCGGAAGGCTGAGATTAGCTGCCTGAAGTCTGGGAGGCTGTTCCCGAGTGTTGACAGGTGGGGCTGGGCAGTTTTCAGCACAGAGTGCCTCGGGCTGGCCTGGCGGCCCCCGCCCCCCGCCCCCCGCCCCCAGGGCCCAAGCCTGGGCCAGGCACGGAGCAGGGCTCGCGGGAAGGAAGGTGAGGGCCCTCCTCTCCATTCCCTGTGTCGTGAGGGCGGCCGGCAACCCTCGGGGCTGCAGGACTGAGCCTGAGGGACAGAGCTCCCGGCAGCGTGTTTGGTGGGACAGCTGGCAGGCACCGCCAGCGCCATGACAAATGTCCCCAGCTTCCTAATGAGTCTCTGCACAGCACAGAGAAGCTGTCCCTCTACCAGGGGACGCCGCCTGCCACCTGCACCCACGCCCCCTCCTTCCGCACGGCGCTGACTCACGGTGACTCACAGGCAAACAAGCAGCACCCCGCCGGGACCTCCGCCTCCCCCTCCCGATCCTCATTTGCCTTTCTTTTTTTAAGATTGGCTTTTCAGATCGCTGGGCATATCTTTAAATACGCGGGAAGGACAAGCACATACAGCACTAAAATACTGAAATACACCATTTACATAAAAAAAAAACCCTTTAATTCTCTGGGCTTCTCGTCATTCACCCACGGCAACAGTCCATGTTCTATGCATAAGACCCCCGATTCTTTCTTGGGCGCGTCCCGCTCCCCGATTCCACCGCAGGCGCAGTGGGCCGAGGCCACGCCTTACGCCGCACTTGTCTGGTGACCCATGACACCTAGGCAGGAAGCTGCGTGGTAAGCCCCTCCTGTGAGTACACAGGGCTCAGCAGAGAAGGGACAAGGGATGCGTCCAGCAAAGCTGGGTGGACGGCCACGCCTGCCTCCCCTCACCGCCTGTGCGCACCCGAAATGCCCCTTCTCTCTCTCGACTGCAGGTGCGGGAGTCTGGGCGGCCTCCACGGGGGGCAACCTGGGCTGCGCCCCGCAGGTTAGCTCACGGGCCTGTTACCGTCTTTGCCTTTTCGTCGTCCGTAGTTTTGTCCTCTTTGGAATCGCAGGTTTCCGGCGGAAATCGTTCTCTCCCCTTGCTCTCCTCCACCGTCGCCCCCTCGCGCATGCCCGCGGCTACGAGAAGCGCGCTCATGGCCTCGGCCGCCGGTGGACGGGGCTCTCTGGTGGCCAGGCACCTGGCGCAGGGCTCAGGAGGAAGAGGCAGGGGCGCCTGCACCCCCCGCCCCCCAGCGTTCTCCAACGGGGCCCGCTGAACTCCGAGGCCGGCGACGAGGAAATGATGCTTTTCCATCATCTTCCCCGTGTGAACTGGGGCCCGAGCACAGAGACCAGGCCTAGGCTCTCAGCAGCCAGGGACGCCTGCAGCTCTAAACCTCAGCACCAGGCGTGCGGCTCTGTCTTCAGCCCTTGGACGCGCCGGCCCTGGGCTGAGTGGTCCTCCTGGTTCCTCCGGGATGGGCCAAGAGCCCCCGGGGAGTCCTTGGCGAGGCCAGTTCGGCTACAGTGGCAACCTACCCACCTGGCCCGCCCTCAGCCCCTTCCGGGCTTCATCGCCCGCGCGGGGCTGCCGTGGCAATGCCGGGGTGGGAGTGGGCGCTGGTGGGATGGTGCCCTCAACAGGGGGCCCCGGAGGCGGCCCCGGAGGAGCTGGAGAAGACCCCGTCCTCAGAGGTCGCCCACGGATCCGAAGACCAGAACGGACCCGTGTGGGAGGCAGGGCCAGGGAGGCCGAGCCTCCTCCAGTGCCTGGAACCAGCCATAACCACGCGGGGTGAGCAGCTCTGACAAAAACCTGTCAGCGAACGCGGAGTCTCCGAGACACCGACGGCGGGATGGCGTCGGGGGTCAGGGCTGAACAGTGAGACGAGAAGAAAAAGTTTTTCCTTGAAGAGAAACAAACATGTAAAGATGCACCAGCGGCTCACGCCTCGAGCAGGACTCCGCGACGCAGGCTGAGCTCAGGGCGGCTCTTCTGTCGGTCTTGGCGCACTTGTGTGTTTGCGGGCAGCTGAGCGTGGATGGCTGTCAGGGAGGGGGGTCCCCTCTGGGATCACGCGGCCGGACAGCCCGGCTTGCTCACCGGCAAGTAACTGCAGGGCTCCCGAGAGCAGCAGGAGGGGACAGGCCCTGTGCACAAGGATGTCTCAAGTCTCTGCTGGTGTCCATTTGTTTCTGGGCCACTGGCCAAATCAGATCACCTGGCCAATCCCAGATTCAAGGCGTGGAGAAACAGACTGCACTTCTGGGTAAGGAGGAAAGAGTGGCCATTTTTTTTTTAAATAATTTCTACAAAATCCAAAATCCAGAGATTTAGCTTTGGGAGGCAACGCCTATCATTTAGGCAAGAGTGGGAACAGGAAGTTCTTCTTCCTGAAAAGCAACGTCCCTTGTCTCCAAAGTATCTGGAGCGGCCGCCGGTGAGGCCAAGATGCACGGTCACGTCTCCTGTGTCCTCGAATAGCAGAGCTCTGATGGCCGAAACGACACATGGTAAACGCAGCACAAGACCTGGGCAGAGAACATGGGGTTCGTGGGGGAAACGACCCACATCCCACACACAATGAGAACACAGGTTCTTTCCTCTTAAACTGATTACTGCTTGCTCCCCGTTTTCTCCCTCGTCCCTTTCACGTGTCTGCTCGAGGCATTTGTCACAAGGCACCTGATGACGACCTGATCAGAGTGCGGAGGGAGCTGGGCTCCGTGTGTGGCTCAGCCCGTGGGAAGCCCGGGCCGGGGAGGGGAGAGCCCTTGTCGTCCAAGACTTAGGCATGTGCAGCAGAGAGAGAGAAATGTGCTCAGAACGGAGAAAGAAATACCACTTAGCTTCCCAAACAGGTGCTCTTCCGTCTTGTTCCAGCCCCTCAAGACCTGTCATTCAGAACAGCAAATTCAAGTCATTTCTGTGACCGTCCACAGGCCCTTGTCACCGAGCTTGTGAAAGGCCTTCTGATTCTAGTGTAACAACAGTCATTGACTAGCGACTGGGAGGCGCTGGGAACGGAAGGCGTATTTAGCCGGAGGCGACGTCCCATCGTCAGCAGGCGGCCTCCTGATGGTGGTGATAAATTCAGCGGCCTCGGCGCTGCCTGGGAGGTGCAAAAAGGGGTTCTGTGGGCAGAGGCGCTGTCCGGCGCCATCAGACTCGGAGAAGAACGCTGCTCGGCTGAAGCGGCTGCGCAGGATGCCCTCCGTGGCCAGAACCTTCCGCGTGGGGACGTCCTCGCACGCAGCTGTTTCCGCGATGTGATCCTCGGACGGCCGCGGTGGGCGCCGCCGAGGTTTGGAGTCAGCCTCCCTCGTGCTGCCCCCGGCCCTGGCCAAGGCGAAGATCAGCAAACCTTCCGAGGAGGTGGCCGGGGAAGGTCCCGCGCCTGCTGGCTCTTGGGTGTGTGTCTTGTCCCTGTCATCCACTTATCGTTTCTCGTCATCCAGAGAGACGTCTTACACAAACATCAGACCACAAGGGACATCCTGGTCGGAAAGTCGTTCTGGGGAAGAGCAGAGAGAGCCCAGCGTGAAACCACAGGCCGCCCGAAGCAGCCCAGCCCGGCACAGTGGGCGGAGCGCACCGCCTGCTCAGGCCCGGCCAGGCCCGGCGGGTATTTCGCTCGGCTGGCCGCTGCTGTGCCCAAGTCTCACTTGACACTGGAGCCAGCACACATCTGGCAGGACCTGCCTCCATGGACCCAGAGTGACGACATGCTTACAGCGCCAAGGCAGCTTGGGGGACGGGCCCCCGCAAACCTGACATCCTCTGCAAGTGCCCTCCCTACTCACGAGATGCTGGCCGCGACATTTTCCTCCCGAAAGAACAACGGAAGACCCTGACTTGTCTTGGAGGGATTAACGATCGCATCAAAACCTTTTTCTGTTCATGTTCTTGCCTACACGCCACACTACAGAGAACATCCAGGTTGGAATCGTGAAAACAGTGTGGAGGGAGAGGCCAGGGAATTGAGAAGGGGACCTTGGAGAGCGGCCCCAGGGCACAGGGGCACCCTGGCAGCCTCTCTCCCCCTCCCCGGGCCTCTGCAAAGGTCCCCCACCGTTTCTCTGCGGTGCAGAGCTCGCCTTTGGGGCCTGAGGGATGCAGAGCGCCGCTCTCGGCCTTTGGAGAGAGCGCAGCAGCGCGCATGTAAGGCCCTTACGCAGGAGACAGCGAGCTGGGCTGGGACCAAGGCTGCCTCCCTAAGCAGGGCGCACTGCGCCGCCTCCCCTTGGAGAGTGTCAGGGGAGGAAAGAAGTCGCCAGAGGGCCTCCAAGCGCCACGGCTGCTCGCCTTCTCTCAGATAAGGACTCTTTCCGGAACACGATGCATGACGTCACAAACCCTCACCCCCCGGGGGGCGGGGCGGAGGGATGCACTTTCAAGCATGCGCAGAGCGTTCTGCACGCACTGGCGCGGATGCCCACCTAAGGCCTGCGGGGGGAGACACGCCTAGAATCCCCGATGTAAATACTTCCTAAAGTCCGCGGTCCAACGCTCACCACCTGGACGCCTATGTCGCCTGCCCCTTCCCGCTCCCAGGTCCGGGCTGTGGGCGCGGACTCACTTCCCACTGTCCCAGGTGGAAGGAGGTGCGGAGCCAACCTGACATCCGCGCTCCCGAAGCCGGCGCCCGGGGGCCACCTGCTCTGCCCCCTGCTCAGGTGGCGCGGCCTCACCTGCTTTTTGGCGGGCTCCTTCTTCCGCCTCTTCTCCGAGGTGCTGTGGCCAGACAGGTCGCGGCCGCGGTGGGACGGCACGCGGCTCAGCTCGTGCTCACTGTAGGGCGGCAGCGCGTCGTCGGGGGCGTCTTCGTCGTCGTCCCGCGGCGCATGCGCCCGGTAGGTGGCCGGCGGCGACCAGGCATAGTAGGGGGCACCGCGCCGGGACGGCGTCTCCAGGCTGCCCCCGCGGCCCGGGTGCTCGCAGGGGGCCGGCCGGCTCACCAGCCGCGGCAGCGGGGCCTCCTCGGGGGTCCAGGCGCGCTCGGCGTCGGCAGGGGCCTCGCGGCTGCGGCTCCGCGTCCCGAAGTACCGGTCAGGCGAGTAGTCCTCGGGCGGGCCGTCGCCAAAGAGACCCCCGCGCGCCCGCGTCTCCGCACGCTCGAAGCGGCTCCCGGGCCGGGCGTCGAGGCTGCCGTCCGCCCGGCGGGACCGCGCGCCATAGGAATCGGCGAAGGCGGCCAGCTCGTCCATGGACACGGCAGGCACGCCTGTGGCGAAGCTCTTCCGCGACAGCATCTCAGACTTGGAGCGCTGCTGGCTGCGGAGACGGGGACACCGGTCAGGCGGCCGGGAAGGCCAGGGACGAGCACCTGCCTGGGCCTGAAACCCGGCCAGAGCGCGCGGCCACCTCTCATGCGCGGGGTCTCCATCCCGGTGGAGGGACGAGCACATCCTGTGGTCTCCAGGGCGCGGCCTCTGAGCGCTATCCTGCGACCTCTGGCCGGCACCACCGGCCACTGCTCACACCCTCCAGCCCCGTGGGGCGCGTGGCTTATAAGTCGCCCAGCTGTGGCCCGAGGAGCTCCTGTGACACTTCGTGACGCACAGACAGGCCTTTCCCTCCCTCCAAACGGGCCGCCAGGGAGGGATAGAGGGACCGTGGCTGGGGGAGCCTGAGAGAAAGGTGATGTCTACCGTCCTTTGAGAGCGGGCAGGGGAGTGAGGAAGGTGCTGTTCAGTGGGAAGCGGCCACCTGCCCGGGTCTCCCGAGTCACTGGCTCTGCGCCCCTGAGAGCGTCCCTGAGCCTCTCTGTATGTCTCGGTTTCCCCAGCCTAAAATGGGGACATTCACAGGGCCTGCCTTTCAGAGTGAGACAATCGAATGCAGCCGTGTAACGTGTTTGGCATTTTAACGTTTCACATAACAAGGGATCACACAGGGTGAAGATGACCGGGGGGGTCGGGGGGGGGGAGAGTTTTAGAGGCCACAGGACGAAACACGTGGCATGGGCAGCAGGGGTCACTACGGGGTTTCGAGCACCCACTGCAAGGGCCTGGAACAGCGACTTCCACACATGGCGCCACAAGCAGTCCCTCGCTTAATTAGTGCGGGAAGGGGGTGTTCTCATAGAAGGGGCGCGTGGCAGGGTAACAGGTGCAACCGGGTAAGAACAGCCTGGGGTCCGCCCGGCCCCCCGCCCGGCCCTGAGCTGCCCTCCGTGCCGCCGTCACCTGTGCCGGAAGCTGTCCCGGTCCTCCCGGTCATACTCCAGGGCCGAGGGCCCGCGGCCCCCCATGACGCTCGGCCAGTAGTCTGCATTGCTCTCCAGGTCCCTGGACACGGAAAGCTGCTTGCCCCGCATCTGGTGGTAGCCCTGGCGGAAGCTGCCGTCCTCCTCATGCAGGGAGCTGAGCTCTGAGATGGTGTTGTTATCTGCGGGGACAAAGTCAGGCTGGACGGAGCTTTCCACCTGCTGGCTGGCGGTGGCAGCCGAGACCAGGCGCCTCTGGGCACTCCCAGCCCGGGCCCCGGCCGGTCCTGTCCGGGGCAGGGGTGGAGCGGAGCGCCTGGCGTCTGCGTTCTCAGCTCAGCAGGTGCTGGCTGCACTCGAGGCCCGTGTGCCGACGGGGCGGGAGGCCCGTCCACGCCCTGTTCCTGCCCTGGAGCGCAGCATGACCGCCCCACCTGGGGCGGGTTTCCCAGAACGGCGGCTCCCTGGCCCCTAGGACGCAGCCACGCCTGGTCAGGGGGCGGCCTGCTCCTTGCACGAGTCCGCGATGAGCCACGACGGCCCTAGGCTCGCTGAGCCAAAGGGTGAAAGGACACAGAAGCCCCAGATGGCAGCGTCTTCCCTATTGTTGGCCGAGTCCCCTCCAGATGGGGCTTCCGGGCCGGCGCCCCCCGCTGGCCGCCTGAGGCTGTGGCCCTGCCCCCAGAGCAGGGGGTCCACAGGGCCAGGGGATGGGCAGCCTCGCGAGGGACCGTCCACCCCCGGCACAAAGCTCATCCAGGAGCCTGGAACGGCCTCTCCCAACGGCTCCAGGTCCACTTCCTGGGACCAGGGAGCCCCTGCCCCTCCCTGGAGAGCGTTCCAGGCGTCTGTGGCCATGGCGGCCGGGACAGCTGTTTGCAGGTGTGGGAAGGAGGAGGTGGCTAGCTGCCCCCTGGCCTCTGGCCTCTACGTGTGGCCTGGCACCAGTCCCCAATGTCCCAGCTTTTTCATTTCCTCAGGTGGCCTAGGGAGCTCTGTGCAAAAGCACTTGGGAAAAAGGACCAGAATGGAAATCAGGAAAGGAAAAAAAAAACCCTGAAACCCTATTTATTTGTAGAACTTTGAAATGGATTGAATTTCATTTTACTTAAAAAACAAATCTAGCGAATCTATTTGTCATGTAATTCAAGCCATTTGTTTTCTACAATCCTTTGGTCAGAACTTCAAAATATTATCAAAATCAACATTTACAACACGGAAGGCCTGGCTGTTGAGCGAGAGGGGGGCCGAGCCCGGACGTGGGAGGCGCCCACGTGGCCCGAGCTTCCCTCCGCCGCCTCCCGCCTCCCCAACAGCCCTCGTCCTCGGACGCGCAGAGAACTGCGGCCGCTTCCCACCGGCGACCGGAGGGCGGTCCCGTCCCCAGGCAGGACACAGCTCCTCTCTGGTCTCCCCAGGACCCGGGCTGACCAGGGGTGCCCTGCGGTCTGGTCGTCTGTCGTTTTGGATTAAAACCTGGTTTTAAACCTTTCTTTCTTCCCAGAGACTCTTGGTTAGTAAAGTCTAGAACCTTTCTTTTCTCGTGACCCCAGCAAAGCCCAGCCTCCTGGGAATCAGAGAGAACTTTGACACGGCCAAGCGTGAGGACGGCCCAGGCACGTGTGACTCCTGAAAATTCACGTTATTGGCTCAGCGCTCTCCTGAACCTTCAGGAGATGCTTGGTGCCGCCACGCAGCGCGGCCCTCTGCTTCCCCACCCTGGCGGACGGTCCAGGGTGCGTGCTGTAGGGTTTCCGCCACGTTGGACGTGAACATCAACCTCCACCGCTTCGCTGACACCTAACGCTGAACGCGGGGACAGGACGGGACAGGCAAACTCTTCCTGTCGAAGGCCACGCGGTAACTGTCGTAGGACTCGCGAGCCGCACGGCCGCGCCTCGTCAGCTCTGCCACCGCAGCGTGCACGGGGTCGCCGACAACAGGCTTGTATAGTGAGTTGGTGAGGCTGCTCTCCAGTCCAACCCACTTACGGAAACAGGAGGCGGGACGTGCGTGCACCGGGAGCTGTAGTTGGCCGGTCCCTGCGCCCGGGTTTCAGACCAAAACGGTCCCCAGAGCAACCCCTCATCCCAAGGGGCAAGGCACGTGGGGGTCGCACGGACTAGCGAATTCACGAGCCTGGCCCTGGAACGCCCGCGTCTCGCGGGATGGGCCCCTCCCGCGTCGCGACCTGCCGCCGTGAGGCCCGCCCTGGGATGAGGCCTGTGAGGATGTCCCACTTCCGTGACCCGCTCCCCCCGCCCCCGGGGCGGCTCTGCTCTCCAGGAGGGGGCCCTCTGCGAGTCCAGGGAGCTCCTGTCCAGCCTCATCGCTGTGTCTTTCTTGTCACGCCAGCCGGCCGGTTCCAGGAGACGGGCTGCAGTTCTGGCGCCGGCACCGAGGACTGGCACTGGCGACACCACCCCCCACCCCCCGGCCCCGCCCACCACCTCCCTCCATCCTCTGAAAAGCGAGGACGCGAGACAGAGGCCTCGGTCTCCTCCAGCCCCAGCGCCCTTCCGCCGGGGAGCTGGAAGGCTGTGCCCTCTGGGCAGAACGCGCCGCCCGCCGCCCGCCCAGCACTTCCTTGAGGAAAGAGCCCACGACGGGAGTCAGGAGGGCTGTGTTCTGGTGTCACTTCCACCCTCTGGCTTCTGTGTCCTCGTCCTTGCCCTGCAGAGGTGGATCGAGGCCATGGCGAGGTCCCCTTGGACTCCAGGGTTCCTTGGCCTTGTCACCCGCCAGGCCTTGGAGGCCATTTTCACCCAGGGAGACGGGAGATGCCACCTCGTCTAACTTCTCCGAGCTGTGACCGTCACGGGCTTGCTCTGTGGGCCCCTTCTCCTCGGCCGCCGCTGAGCTCTCTGCCGCCCTCCAGGGATCCATGACGACACGGTTACAACCAGCTCATCAAGCGCGGTGACATCTGCATTCTTGACACTCCAATCTGGAGCCGGTCTTTTTATAGTCGTGAGGTGGGAGGAGGCGCGGTGCGTGCCACTCGGACGGGAGGAATTTAGAACCAAAACCCCAGGGGGGAACCTGTTGTCCTTTGTCTGAACAAAGCTCCTCCAGGCTGGGGTGCACGGTTTCCCCCCAAATTCCATCACGTCCCTCGTCGGTTCCGGGGTGACAGAGCACGGAGACCTCACTGCCACGCCTGCCAGCACCTGCCCGGGCTGCCTCTCCCCGCAGCTGGCCGTCGGGAAGCTGCCCAGAGAGCCGGCTGCGTTGGCGGCCAAGTCCCCAAGGGCCAGGGTGCATGAAGGGTTTGGACCCCGTCCCCTACACGCTCAGTGTTTTAAAAGGTTTTTGACCAGCGGGGCCGCCTCTTGGCTTGCGCGTCCATCTCTGCGGCTGGGCACCTCGGGAACGAAGGCGCCTCGTTCACGAACTCCGTTGGCCTGTTTGTCTCTCACGCCCCCAGGGGCTGCGGCGCCCAGCCAGCCGCCAGCTGGACTGCTGTTCAGCGCGCGGGCCCTTCGTGCTGGAAGAGCTGAGCCCTACGCTTCCACCGTGTCGCCACCCCGAATGCGTCCCACAGGGGGTGGTCGGGACAGACGGGTGTAGGAAGTCGCCGGGCGGCGGCACGGCCGGCTCCGCGGAGACCCAGCAGGTACCTGGGGGCACCACGGCTGCTGTCCCCTTCCCCCTTTGCCCTCCCTCCTGCACACGGGAAGCCACTCTCTTTGGGTGGCGTCAGCGGCACCCCTGCCCATTCTGACCCCGAACGCCAAAAGCTGCCCACGTTCGGTGGCTGGCCCCCCGCCCCAAGTCCCCGTTAGCTATGAATTCCCCCGCGCCGCCCCGACCCGGGACCCGCGGATGCTCACAGCGGCCTCTCAGCCTCCTGGCGGGGTCGAACTGCGCCAGCTCCTTCTCGACGTAGTACAGCACCTTCATGGAGTCGCGCTCCTTGTCAGTCTGGATCCGGTAGCCTTTGCGAACTGTCGGGGGAAGGACAGCGCGGTGAGCGGACCCTCAGGAGGCGGAGGCTCTCGCCTGCCTCACCCGGAAGAGAACGTGGTTCCTGCGCAACAGCTGCCCCGAGGCTGCCCCGCACGGGAATCTCCGGTGGCACCCTGAAGGCGCCCTTTGTCGCGCGGTTCCCCGGGAACGGGGGGCGCAGCGGGTCAAAGACCGAGTTCTGTCCCCGTGCGTTTTTTGTCTTTGTTCACCTCTGCTCCCTGTCTCCCCACCTCCAATAGCCCCACTGAAAGCGCGTCCTCCCCAAGCCCAGGACTCCAGAGCGACGGAAACACACTAGCGAAAGCGCGCGGTCTGGACTGAGGACCCAGCTCGCGCTCTCGTCTGAGCACCGCGCCTTCCCTCGGGAGCGCCTGCATCCAGGACGCAGGCCCTCGGCCTCAGGGGCCTCGACAGAGGGGGCCTGAACACCTGTGGTGGCCTGGGAGATGGGGTACAGATTCCAGAACTGGGGGTGGCGTAGGAGCTAAAGAGAGTAGTAATACCAGATTACAGGCTCTATACACGTTCGTACGAAAATGAGACGCTAAACACATGGATCACCCTTTACAGTTTCATTTTTCCCTTTCGGAAGGGAAATGCCCTACTTTAGACACGAGCAATTCAACCTGCTGCGATGCGGTCGCACGCAGGCGTTATTTTCAGGGCTCCATAAACAACAGAATTAAAGCCCCCGAGACCATCCCACATCCTGCATCGCCGGCCCTCACGCTGTGAGGGACCAAGGCTGTGGGAGCCCCGCCCACTTGGACATCAGCCAAGCCCCGCACCGGCCCCGGGGGCGGCGGGGGGGAGGGCGGGCAGGGGGTGGGGCACAGGACAGCAATGGTGACAGACAACACTGGGGGCACTGGACACGCGCCGGGTACACGGCCACGCTTTCCCAGCCACGCTGTCTGCCGAAGTCTAACCGACTGGACATCTTGCCTGTCTTGGAGTCCAGGGTCACAGCAGGAAGGAGAGACAAAGGCAACGGGGAAGCAGAACCCAGAGTGGGAAGGGGCCTTCGGTGGCGACGGCGCTGCGGTCTGAGGCGTGGCCTGTCCTCCAGCCCGTTGGGAATGTACCGCGATGTGAAACGAGAGACCCAACGCCAACATCTCTGCCCCCGCAGCGCGGCGGACATGGGAAGATACCGCAGGACTCACGCGCCCCCGGCGCTCTGGCCGTGCCGCCCCGGCTGGGGACAAGGCGCCCACACGAGCCGCGTCCGTGGGAGATTAAGAGAATATTCTGCAGCCCTGGCGCCGAAGGCTGAGGGACGCCCACACGCCCCTGGGCAGGGGCGCTGGTTTCTATGTGGGCGCGCACGGCGCAGTCCATGCTCATCTCGAACTGTGGCGGTACTTCAAAAAAAATGAACGAATCTCAGCACACGCTCTTCAGCGCCGCTGCCTCCCGGAGGTGACATCCCCGTCCTTTCGCAGGGGCAATTATTAGCAGGGATGACTTTATCTATCAAGCCACGCGGCCTTCCATCTCTGCAGCGGTGTCGGCAGAGTAGCAGACAGACCGGCTAAAGCACAGGGACCCCACGGAGCTGCTGTCTGCCCTGAGGCGGCGCCCCTGCCGGGGGGAACGCAGGGCTGGGGGCCCTGTGGACGTGCCACTGGTTTATGGGGGACCCCACGTAAATGCTGGACTCTCTAGGACTGTTTTCGTGTGAAGGGCAACTAATGCTTCCCACACTTTGAATTGTCTCTTAAAGGAGAGGCGACAAGGACTGAATGAGCGGCACCGTGTGAGTTCCCTGTAATTACTGGGGGGCTCAAACATCGCCTCCTCTAAAAGCTTCGGTTCTCGCCCCTAGAGAGGCTCTCCCTCTCCTCTCTCTGTCTCACTCCTAACTTACTAATCGTTCAGTCTGAGTTTTTATCCCGGCCCTTCCTGTATTCTAGTTCAAGTTATTTGTATAAATGCGTGAACTTCCCAAAGATTCTCGAGGGACAGGAATCCTTACCATTCTGTGGGGGGGGGGGGGGGGGGAAGAAACCTAGGCCCTTGCTTGACACACAGTAGGTGCTTAGTGTCCCTTGCAGCCTGAGGGCGAAGAGGGGCCGACAGGTGCTTTAGGACGAGCGTTTGCCATGAGCTTCCCTCTCGAGACGGCAGACGCCCCGAGGGCGAGGCCAGCTCCCTGCGTTTCTCTCTGCATCCAGCCTGTGCCCGGCGCCGACGTCCAAAACGGGTGTGTGTGTGTGAGAGAGGGAAGGAAGGAACGGACGGACGGACAAATGAACGAATGGAAAGGAGACCAGGAACGGAACCGGTGTCACAAGCGATGACCCAGGGAGGCGGGGAGGCCACGCAGGGGGTCTGCCAGAGAATTCTGACCCGGAAGGAGAAGGCTGGGGTGGGAGCTGGAGGCAGCCGCAAGGGTTCGACAAGTTTCGCGTTATTTTGTTATCACTGATGATTTCCTAGGTAAAGCATGGTTGCAGGCTTCCGGGAAAGGGCAGGCTCTACCACTGCCTGTGGCTTTTTCTAGGTCTTCTTAATACATGAAGCGCCGTTAAGGTCAACTTTCAGTAGTAACTACCGGTGTCGATGTGCCCACTGTCCCCTGGCGGCGAGAGGTGGCCGCCACCCTCAGCAACGGCTGGACACCTCCCAGTTAACTGTGGCTTGGACTGGAGCTTAGATGGTTCTGTGTCTTTGTGACGAATTACACTCCTTGCCACGAGACGGCCTCGATTACACGTGTGCAGGCTGTCTGGCCCCTGAAAAGCCACAGGGACTATTTCCAGCCTCAAACGGGGACGGCCGTTTGCCCGTCGATCCTGGCTGCGAAAGGGACCCCCCTGGAGACCGTCCGCTTTGACTGCTTGGCCACACAGGCCCGTGACTTCGGACATCGAAATCCCTCTCATTTGTCAAAAGCGGACACAGGCAGAGTATTGATCTTGAGACTTTAAAGCCAGCACCCGTTTGGTTCCGGGAGCTTAAGGGCCGGCCATTCTCCCCTGAAAAGGTGTGGGTTTTTTTTTAATCGCCAGCCCTCAACTCCATAGCGCGGCTCACTGTAAGGAGTTACATCGTGCTGAGCACACTGGGGTCTGGCCAAGCCCCCGACACGGTCAGGGCCAAAAACAAACAAACACACCCGCAGGCCCTTCTCGGTCCCTCCGAGCGGGTGGGACCTCCCCTTCTGAGCCGGCACGAGGGGACAGCTCCATCAGCACTGCTGCGGCATTTTACTCATTTTACTCGTGCGCGCGCCGGCCCCCAGCAACCTCTCTGCTAGACCGTCGGCTCCTGCCGGGCAACGTGCAGGCGTTCACCGCATGTTCCTGGATTTGAAAAATAAACAGAATCCTGTCTGGTTGACATTTATCGGTAATTTGTCTGAAGATCAGAGAACTCGGACGTGCGGTGGTATTTCGGTAAGAGATGTCCTGGACCGTCGGCCAAAGTCCAGCATTTTTTTTGGAAAATGACTTTTTATTCCTGGCGATGCCCCCCTTTCGGGTGGGTGGGCAATTGATTCTCAAGTTCAGTCTGGGCCGAGACCTCCGGACGGGGGCGTCCTACCGCAGCTCCTCTGATTTATCAGCCTTGCGGCCTTGGCTTCCCCGCGAGGGGACGTAGGGATGATGTTCCTTTTTAGGCCACAGTATAATTTTTAAAAATTCTCATTGTTAAAGAATTTGAGCTAATACTTTTGGCCCCCTGAAGGCTCAACCATTTTTCAGTGAATTTCTCCGCTGCCGCCACAGGAAACTCATAAAACGTGCCAGACACGCGCCTAAGGCAGGTCCCCCCGGACAGAGCCTCGCTCTCCGCGCCCAGCGTGACGAGCTAAGTCAGGCCGTTGGTGGATGATGCGACAGCTGCCAGCTCCCACCCCCAGGTGACAGCGCCACCGTGGGAGAGGCGAGGCTGAAGATTTGCATGTTCTCTGTGTGCATACAGTAGGCATATATATAGACACACATCCTTATTAGTTTGGAAAATGACATTTCAAAACCCTACCTGCCTACTCAGTTTTTTTTTTTTTCCCCCCCTGATGGGAAGAGGATGGTAGATGTGATCATAACACAGAGGCGAGCAAGGGGAGAGTCGCTGCGGGAGACCAGGGAGGAGGTGAACCCCTTCGTCCAGGCGGGAGACGCGGCCGCAGGGACGAGGGGACACTCAATGGATTGGGGGTTACGTGGAGCTATGGTCTGAAGGACGTGGCGATCAGCTTGACGAGGGGAGTGGGGGAGGGGAGAGGAGGACTGAGTCCCAGCTTCTGCTTCGGGCTGGTCGGTGGGCGGGGGTGGCGGCCACTGACACGAGGCGCGGATGCGCCGATGCCCACAAACGGCAGGTGGATTCGGTTTCCCGGAGGCCGAGTTTGAAACGCCTGCGGGCCATCCAGGTGGAGGTCTCCGGAAAGCGGACAGACACGCGGGACAGACGGTCGGAGGGGAGGTCGGGGTCACCGGCGTACAGACAATGTGACAGCCTGGAAGGCAGTCCAGTTTCCCAGGGAGGGGACAGTGGACCCGACGGGACTGCCCCCCTCGGGGCGACGTGCGGAAGCGGGGGAAGTCCTGCAGAGTACGCCGCGGAGGAAGGCAAGGCAAGGGTGGCAGAGGCTGCTGGGAAGGGCGGAGAAGGGTCCCCTCGTCCTAGCAGGGGGGTCCTGGCAAGCACGGGCCTCTGGGCGGGTGACGGCCACAGCGAGAGGAAAGTTAGTTGGGGCGTCGACGAGAGCAGAGGACATATGAATCCCTCCCAACTCTTTCAAGGAGCATGGCAGTGCAGAGGCAAAAGGGGACAGGGAAGTACCATCAGAGGACTACAGGGTGCCTGCAAATTGTTGTATTTTAGCAGGAGGGTTTGAGGGTTTTTTTTTTTTTTTTTTAGGATTTTGTTTGGGTTTTTTTTAGAGAAAAGGGAAAGGGAGGGAGAAAAAGAGGGAGAGAAACATTGATGTGGGAGGGGAACATTAATTGGTTGCCTCTCACACTCTCAGCCAGAGACCTGGCCTGCAACCCAGGCCTGTGCCCTGCCAAGGAATCAAACCTGTGACCTTTCGGTTTGCGGGATGATGCCCAACCCACTGAGCTACACCGATCAGGGCTGAGCATGTGCTGAAGGCTAATAGGACGGAATCACTAAACACGGGAGGCTGGAGATGTGAGCTGGGAATGGGGTTTGGTGTGGATGTTCAGCAAGGAGAGAACCTTGGCAGGGTGGCGGGGGGGGGGGTGGACCTGGAGCCAGGGAGGAGCAGGCGGTCATCCGCCCTGGTCAGAGAGGTCTCAGCCGCCTCGATGAAGAACAGGAGGAGGAACCGGTGCCCCTCACCTCTCTCCCACTCGGTAGCCAGCTGGCTGCACTAGACACAGCTCATCAAAGATGCCAGTTCAACACCACGCTGCTCCAAAGAGTGCTGCGTACAGATGGAATCTGAGAACTTCCTGTTGCTAGGTGACTACCCCAACTCGAGGTAGCATGTAACTACAACATGAGCTAAATTTACATCTTTCTAAATCAGCTTTTCTGAACATCTCAAACATGCGGTAGAGAACAATCTACATGGAACGCTGGTGTCATCTGTAATTGCAGTCATGGGGCCGCAGGACAGAACGTGCCCGGGGGATCATAGAAAATACTTCTGTCCTGAACCACGAGCCAGAGAATGACCGTGCGGCCAGGCTGGCCGCGGCGGATGTTGATTGTGCCTTGTCCCCTTCTCCTCGTGCACAGAGCCCTGAATTTGCTCCTTTCCAAGGTCAACAGGCGTTCCAGCCTAAGAGATGAGTCTTGATCGGCCCAAGCCAGTCTGGGTTAGGAAGGGGCTCGGGACACGGTTCTGGCCAGTAAAACCGCAAGGTGTCAGCAGGAAGGAGCAGGGCTTCGGGAAGGGCCCCCGCACCCCTGAGAAAAGAGCACAAGCAGAAGCACGCCTGTCTCCTGCCTCCGAATGCGCGCCGCCCCCGGAAGGGGGGCGGGGGTCCCCGGGTAATGGGAACGCTCAGGAGGCCAGAACGGGGCGGGAGCAACGAAGTCCTCCAGGGAGGCCACCCCCGGGTGCTGTTGTTAGCCAGCCCCAGGGCCGCTTACCCTTGGGTTTCTTGCTGTGTCAGACAACAGACTCTCCTATTTTTGAGGCCACTCTAACTGCGGCTGGTCAGCACGGCCGGACAGGCCCAAACGAGGGCCTGGCAGCGAGCAGGCGCCGGGAGAGGGTGGGGACAGGGGAGGAGCTGCGACGAGGCGCCCTAACGTACGAGGATGGGGAGGTTCTGCGGGGAGAAGAAAGACTGGAGGGAAGGGAGGCGGCGGAAGGAGGACGAGCCAGTTCCACGAACGTCCCTTTGGCCCACTCCATCCTGTGGGAAACGGGCTTATTGTCCTTATCTCTCCAATTCCTGTGTGTCCCTAGTGATCGTTAACTTGTACTTCTCTGTCTGTGGCTCATTCCCAAGCTCGGACGTGGGGATTCTGCAGAGCTGCAGGGAGGGAAAACACAGACGCCGCCTACTCACCGAGGATGCGCCCTCAGCCCACGGGCGGCACTGCCGGGCCATGAAAGGGGCCGGGCCAGGCGCCTCCAGGCCAGAAAAGGCCTCCCTCCCCGCCCTGGTGGCCCAGCCACATCTCGGGATTTGAAAATCCCCCAAATCTACTTCTCCCCACAGTTCCAGCCTCACCGCTCTTGTAACCTTGTTTGAACACCTCCAGGAAGGTGGCACGTGAGCGCCGCCCTCCCCCCGCCCCGGCCACGATTCACCGTGTCCTGAACGGGGGGCCTCCCCGGCGAGCTCACCTCCACGGGCCTCGCACGCCAGGCAGCCTCGGGGCCCCTTGCCCGCGCTCCCTCGGGTCTCGTTTCCCTGCTCCGGGCGTCTGAGCGACGGCCCCTGGCGTCAACGCCCGTCGCCCCTGCTCAGATGACCCCGCGTCCCCCGGAACGACTTCAGTCACATCCCCATGGGGGGTCTGGCCCCACTCTCCCCCACCTACCACCGGCCTCGTCAGCCCGTCACCTCCCGACTGAGGACCCTGGCCGCCGTGACCGTCACTCGCCACCGCACCAAGTCCCAGCTCTTCTTGGGGGAGGGGTTCAAGGCTCCACAGCAGCGGGGAGTCAGATGGATGAGCTGGACACGGTCCAACACGCTCGGTGTGTTCTCCCCGCTCTGGCTCCCACCCTGCTGCCTCCTGGGGGTGCACTGCACCCCTCCCCTGCCCCCTGTGCTGCTCGTCCAACCCTCCCATCTCTCCAGGCCCAGCTCAGATCCCACCTCTTCCCCGAAGACTAGGCGACCGGAGCCCTGTCTCCTAGGAGCCCTGTCTGCTGGACGCGCCCAGTCCCAAACTCACGAGCATCTCATTATCCTAATGAAGGTCTGTCCTTTCCCCTGCCTGGGCCACGCTGCCTGGGCACAAGCTCTGTCCCTCACTTCTGGGCGCTCCTCACAGCGCCCGTGAGCCCTGGGCCCTGGGCGGGGACGAGAACGATTCACTAGCTTCCGGCGTGGAAGTAACCGTCCCCGAAGCAGCACGGCCGAGCTCACGCTGTCTTCAGCTAGGGCCTGGCGTGTGAGCTGCGGCCGGGGTGGGGGGCGGTGAGGGCGGGGCAGCCCGGGACCCCGTTTACCACTGCGGCGTCCTCCAGAGGAGTCACTTGGAGCCAGGGGAGGCGGGTGCGGCTTGTCCATCAGCATGCCTGACGAAGGGGCTCCTCCCAAGGGCGCAGGGGGGATGGAGTAGGGGCCGGGGACACGGGAGACAGAGGGAGGGTACCCGGCCTTGGCCGCCTTCCCTGCTTCATACACTGCGGAGGGAGAGGAAGAGCAAGAGATTATACGGTCCCACCCTCCACAACCCTCACGCCCTGCACCCCTGAGGATGCGCTGCAGGGAGCTCCTGGGCGTGTGCCTGCGTGCCCGCGTGCTCACGTGTGCGTGCACATGTGCCTGTGCGCCTGTATATGTGTGCTTGTGTCTGCACTCCTGTGTGCTCGTGTGGGGGTGCACCTGCGTGTGTGCCTATGTGTGCACGTGTTTGTATGTGCCGTGCACATGCAATTTGCACGCCCATGTGTGCTCCCCTAGGCCTGAAATACTTAACGGGGCCACTCTCCCCCACTCCCTGGGGCTCCTCCAGCCTCCTCAGGAGGCGCCAACATCAGGAATGATAGTGTTTAGCGCCTGGCAGCTGAGGAATTAAGCGGCGCACGGAGCTGTGGCAGCAACCTCTCCGTGACAGCAGCAGCCCACTCCTAGTCGCGCTGTCCGTGGGCGGCCTCCGCCCGCTGCCAGCGGGGGGCGGGGCCTCTCCAGGGGGGCGGAGCGAGCAGGGCCTTGCACAGGGCCCCCCGGGAGCCCAGAGCAGACCGGACCCCTGGCTCTCGTGGAAAGTGCCGCATTCCTGCATGCTGTCGCTCTCCTACAGGCTGTGGCAGGGGGTCCAAAGTTAAGGCCTGCGTGGGCGTGGCCAGTCAGGTGAATCCGGGGTCCCCGAGGGAGGACTAGTCCCTCCGCTTTGACACGGGGGTAAGCAAAAGCCATCAGCGGCCGGGTGGTACCCGCGGCTGCGCTCTGCCGGGGCGGGGGGGGGGGGGCCCACCAGAGGGGGCTCCCTCGGGTTTGAATGCCCCGTGAGAGGGCAGACGCCTCGCCCGCCACCTCGCCGTCCTGAACCTGCCCTTCCTGTCGTCAGCAGTGTCAGGGAGTCTCCGAATGCTCGGTGACCGGGGCGGAGGAGACGCTTGGAGCGGGGGTGAATGGCGGTCCACAGGCAGACAAGGGCGGTCAGCTCCGGGGGCCGGGGCTCCCAGTGCGGGGGTGGGGGGACGTCTGGAAGGAGTGACACGGGGGCGGGAGGGAAGGAGGCGGGGGAGGGGGTCGGGCGCGCGGCCCCCCGGAGGGCCCCTCGGTCGGTCCCTCCCCGGCTGCGCGCGGGCCCGGCACTCACGGGCCTGAGGGCAGCAGCAGGAGTCGGGGCAGCACGGACAGCGGACGTAGCAGCAGCAGCTGTGCGGGCAGCACTGGCACCAGCAGATGCCCACCAGGACGAAGAAGAGGAGGGCTCCCAGGATCACCAGGCCCACAAACACCCACTCTGGAAGGGCGCACAGAGGGAGCCGTATCAGGCGGGGGGCCCGGCTCGCGGGGGCTCCCCGCGGACAGGCAGGCGCCGCGTGACCGGGCACAGAGCCCCCAGACGGGGGGCGGGGGTGAGACGTGCAGACCCTCCCGGGGCCGGGGCACTGAGCAGAGGGACGTCGCCTCACCACGGTCCCACGGAGCACGCACAGTGACGCGCTCAGAGCCACGGGGCGGGGCTTCCGGGGTTTACCGCATTGGCTGTAGTGTCCGAACGAACAGGGGACGAGGGCAGAGAGACTTGTGCCGGGGAGGGGGGCTTGGTTTGCTGAGCTCTGACGTGGTGCCTTCTGTGAATACATGCATGTCGGGGCGTCACGCTAATCTTGTTGCTGAAAGTGCCTGAGAAAAACTTCTCCGGGTCCGCCTGGTCTAACTCAGAACCCACTGAGGTGGCCCAGGTCCTTATGCATCATCTGCTTCCCGGCCCGTCGCCCCGGGACGCCTGTCCTGGACTCGGCATTGGTCCCGCAGACGACGGCGAGAGACAGCGAGAGACACGGGCTCTGCTAGAGAAGACGCTGTCCCCACCCCTCGCTTTCGGGACCTGCTATAGGGCCTGAACTCCCCCGGGAGCCTGGAGACTGCAGGGACCTCCGATCTCTCTTAACAGCTGCAAGATTAAAGCAACTCATTTTGCTGGACAATCATCCACCAAAAAGCCCTTTACAACGAACTTCAAGTACTTGTGGATTTTCTTAAGTTTCGGTTATTAAATATTGCTTCGGTTCAATGGACTTTCAGTGAGAGCTTGAAAATGTGACGTTTCTGTTACATAAAGGGTTCTGCAGTGATGGTCCAGCTAGGTGACCTTCGCTGAGAACGTAACTGCCTCAGAAAGCAATTCCTGTTTCCTGCGTGTCCCTCCTTTCTCACCCCCTCACATGCGTTCAGACGAACCAGGTCACGCTGTCTCCAGAGGGGAAATGGGAAGACCTTGTGCCCGGCGGGGGTGGCCTGGGGCTCTGGGCCGGGCCTCAGAAGCAACCTCGTCACGGCGGGGACCCTGAGGCAGACAGAGCCCCGCCTGGGGGCGACAGCTGGGGTCAGGCGGTCAAGGGGACGAGAGACCGGCCGGCCACCTCGCACCCACGCTGTCACCCAGGAAAGGGTCCTTGCAGTCAAAGGGAGGGAAATTCAGGCTTCCAGGACCAGCTACGAAAAATACAGCAACTGCTTCTCCGGACTGGGGTTTGCGATGATGTCAAACTTGAAGAAACAGTGCCAGGTAACACTGTTTCTTCTGTGTGTGGTGAAGGAATGGTACAAACTGTCGCAGTTCTGAAGAAGGGGACTCACAAAGGGATATCTATTCGTGTCCTTGGGCTCAGCATCAGTAAGAAGAATGTCTGTATTTGGGTCAGTCCACTCGGGGGAAGGGGCCAAAAGAATTCCCAGAAAGACAATGAGTGAAGTTCAACTGGAAAGACTCTCGATCTTTCTTTAACCTTGAGTCAAGTCAAAAGGAATGGCCAGGAATATTCTGTATCTCTCGGTGGCTGTTAAACACTCGGCAGCTCCTAACCCTTGGGGCAAACACCCTGCAAAGCAAGAAGGAGCCCTTCCGACTCCGCGAGATCAGCGGTACCCTCCCTCCGTGGCCTGTTCTGGTCTCTCTCTGAGCCTCCCCCCAGCAAGGACTCCCGGGCTGCGCCAAACTCGTGCTGGCTTGTCTGGGCTGGTGCATTCAACTCGCGCTCCATAAAAAGTCAGAGGTGTGCATCCGGGACAAGTGTCCCTGCCGAGGGGCCCACAGACACTCCCGAAGGGCTTGGGGGCCCCAGGAGGCCCTGGAATTGTACACAGAGCAGAGTAGGCGTGTGGATGTGAACCTCCGAGGAGGGAGGGGCACGTGGCTCACGTTAGAAAAGGCAATTCGGAGTCACGTGGTTGCAGACTAATGAAAGGGTAGACTTGTAACTTAGGGCACAAGGAAGGCAGACAAGTAATGATTTCGTTAGGGATCTTTTGAGCTCTTCACGTGTGGCTGAGATGCCGGGGCGGGCAGGGAGGGGCTGCAGAGCCCCCGGGCCTGTCCCAGAGGAACTGGGTCCCCGTCTCAGCCCATTCCAAGTTACCATTATTCTTTTAGGGTCTAATAACAGAAGAAACACAATGCAAAGTCTCTCCCAACGGGCTTAGTTCATCCTGGAAAAGACCGCAGACATGCAGAGACAATTGTGCAAATAAATTACAGGAGCAGTTAGTGAATGACGCAGCAGCCAGACAGATGGAGGGACAGCAGATTAGGTGAACAGAGAGTTAAATGACTGGATACCTGGCATGATCTCCACAGCAAAACTGGGCAAGAGGTCAGCAAGCAGCCCTGTCCTGCCTGGAAGAGGTGGAAGGGAAAGAAGAAGGAAAGAGGTTACTCGGAAGGAAAACAGAGCCCGAGGCCCGGCGGCGGCCGGCGCCGGCCCACGCCGGGCACTGGCCCACGCTCCCGCTGGCACGCGGGGCACATCGCAGAGGCTGTGCTCCGACCAGAGAAGGCCCTCCCCGGTCGGTCTCCGGCAGCACGTGAGGGAACCGGCCCCTGCACCGGGTGGGAGCAGACACGGGACTTTGGCTCCAGCTCTTTCTGGGGGGAGGAAATCTCCGCTTCGACACGAAAAACCTGCTTGAGCAGACGGACACGCACCATCTCCACACATTTGACTTCCTTCTTCGCACATTTTTTTTTTTTTTTGAAAATTTAACCCCTCTGCATCCAGACGTTTAACCTACATTTCCATACATCCACAGACACCCCTATGTCCCTATAAAAACAAAAGGACCTAGTAGATTTTAACTCGGATTAATCTCACTACATGATTCGATTTATAGCCTAGAGATCGTTCAATGATTAAAATTTTCAAAGGCAAGGGAAAAGTAAGCTCGATCGGTTACACACTCCTCTACACTCCTTCGCCTTCAGAAATACCCTGCACAGGTCTACTGCAGGGCTTTTCCCCAGGGCGCTCACAGGGGGCGCTGTGTGGACCCCGCTGCTATCTGCGCGGCTCGCACTGGCAGAGAGGCTTGGGAGCTGGTGTCAGAGCCGGTGGCCCTCGAGGCGCCAGCTGGGAGGAGCTGTGCGGGAGACGGGTCCCAGAGGATGTGCAGAAGGAGGTTAGTCCTTCCAAACACTGTCCTGATTTATACCAACTGCTCTTAGTGTGGTCTCACTATCATAGGAAGTGTCAGGCCTTGATGGGACTTTTGCCCGCGCCACACACCGCTGCCACGCTCCGGTCTTGCTCACCAACGAGGGGCCCCAGGAAACTGCAAACGAGCTGGTCCCTTCCAGACCCGGGCTGGCCAGAGATCCCCGTGGCCCCTGAATGCTGCGTCGTCTATGTGGGCGACGTGCCTCTAGAGCAGGAGACCGACGGGTCATTCAAACTTTTCTAGTGATCACGTCGAAAGAGTGAAAAGGATAAAATGAATGATATTTTCTATTTAGACCAACAGAGCCAAAATATTGACACTTCAAAGGCTCGGTAGGTCAGCTCGATACTGTTGGGGTCTGTTCCATGCCTCCGGCGGACTTGATGCGCTCCCTGTGGAAGTTTGCAGGTGGCGAGTAGAGAGGAAGTCACTCGTGTGTGGTTTATATTTTAAGGTGAAAGGTCACGGTTGGGCCTTGTCCTCTCTCCTCTCTCAAGTCCCCCCCCCCCGCCCCCCGCCAGGAAAGCAGCTCTGACGGAGCCCAGAGTGAAGCGAGCGGGTCCAGGCCACAGCTGGGGGAGGGCGCTGGACCAGCACAAGGGTTAGGGACTCCGGAAAGGGGACTTGTGCTCGCTCTGCTGCTTCTCTGCTCTCCTTGACCCTCTGAGGCCAGTGTGGCAACGGCATCCCGGCCGCATCTTCTGCAGGGGATATGGCCCCGCTTTGGAAAAGTTGGTCAGGACCAGAGTACATTCCAAGGGGCAGGGAGCGCGTAGTGGGGGCCTCGGCTAGCGTTGGTCTGGCTCGCAGCAGGGACAGCACCCTTTTGTCTGTCGTCCCTTGCGTGTGGTGGACGTGCTCAGAATGGCCTGCTGCTCACGAGGCCTCGCGGGGGGCGCGTGAGAGCCACAGGAGGCACCGGGACACGGCACCCCCAGGGAGCGCCCCCAGCCAGGCTGACGCCTGAGCCTTCACGAAGGGCTACGAGGTGCCTCTGAGGCTCCCACGGGGTCTGGCGCAGTCTTCCAGGGTGGGAGGCCAGGCTGGGGTTTGGGACCGAAGTCTGAGCAGGTGACCGAAGAGCATCCATGGGTCTCATCTGTGATGTTCTCTGGACAAACATCTCTCAGAAACTCAACAAGGCAATTGACAGCCAGCTAAGCATTTGGGAACTAGGGATCTTGGATGTCTCTTAAAGGCATAATTAATATTAATTTCCAGCCAAAAGCCCATGATCAGGAAATCAATACACAGTATTTTTAGCAAGCACCTTATCAGACACTTACTTAAAAGAAAAAAACCACAAAAAAAAAAAAACCACCTGGGCAATTAGCACTTCAAAGTATATATCTCATTGCGTCTAGTGAAGTGCGGAGTTTCCCTTGCTTTCACTCTCCAGCTCTCCAGCCTACCCGTGTTGAAGCATCTCTACTCATGTGACAATCCAAGATATTAATTACGTTCATAATAGGAATGTTATTGATGACAGAAGCTACCGATCGGTGCGCCCTCATGGGGAGTTAGCTGTGACGGTATTTCACCGTAACAACCCAGACATCCAAGGCGGGATGGCGCGCTGGCGTGGCCCACAGTGCGTGTCATATTGGAAGGGGCAGGGGGCCGGGGCTCGGGGGCTCAGCGCAGCGCGGCCCCGCGTTTCCATGGTGATTACTACAGGCAAACCGCGTCCTCTTCCTGGGTCTCAACTCTCCCATCAGCCAATGGACTGGGCGGTCAGCGGTGAGACCATTCGGCTTGGTTTGCCGGGGCGAGTCTTGGCTTCTGCCTGTTGTCCTGGTGGAC